ATTCGATCGCGATTGCGCGCCATCGATCGTTCAAATAACGATGCCCTTCTGCTCGTTTAAACGCGAAGGATCGCGAGGAAGATTTGTCCTTGGAAAATAGAAAAATATTTTTGAGAAAACACGCGAATGGAAATGTAAAGGAAGATGAAAATAAGAAGATTTGGATTTGGTAAAAAAAAAAACAATAAAAATGTCGGATCCAAGTTCTCATGGCACGACCGGATCTTCGCTTCGAAACGATCGAACGCTCCTCCTCCTCTTTGTTCGCGACAAGAGGCCGTCGAAAGGTTACACTTAATTATGACATTCGGGAAGGCACGTTTTACCAGCGGGAAGTGACTTTCCCTCGAGTGCTTGTATATACGGGAGAGAATACATTAAAGTAATTGAGGAGTTTGTGTAAAAGTTGTTTGATGACATGCGCATATATGATGTGTGTGTATGTGTATACATTGCCTATTTTCATTATATATAAATAAGAAATTTACACGGATAATACGATAAAATATTTAAAGATCTTTTCAATCTTTTTAAATGTTTTTGGAAATGTTTCGAATTTAGATCTTTTTTTTTTTTTTTATTTATCGATGTCATAAATTAGTAATTGATTTTTAATACGAATCATTATTTTACGCACGAAATAATTATTTGATTGATTGATTTCGATTGTCGTAATTAGGAAATTAATTAAAACGTTCCATCCAATTTTCTGTAAATGGTTTTCAATAAAGGGAACAATTTCAACCGTGATTAATCGAATTTCAATTGATCGAAATCCTAATTAAATTTCTACAATTATGGATTAAAAAAGGCAGAGGAGGTATCGAAAACGTGGAGGATATATTCTCTATTCACCGACGTTATTTCATTCCCGTATTAAAAAAGTATGAAAAATATTACGTATACACTGTTATTTAAATTTTACTTAGATACGAAAACTATTATTTTAATTACGATCTCCCGCTCGATCCTCTCTCCTTAACGAGTTCTCCACGCGTGCGAAAATAGCAGTAATATCGAGCATGGCATTTCCAGCATGGCAATCTCAATAGAGAACGCAGGACATCGAAAGCGGGATATTCAACGGCGAATGAATACAAAGGGAACGGTGATTTCGCGTATAACGATCGACGATCGATCTCTCAATGCGTCCAACTTGCGCACTTTGACCAGGCGATCGCTAACAGAAGCGAGAACGTACTCGAGAATCTATTTCTGCGACCATTCACATCGAAAACACGAACTCACACTACTCGTCTCTCTCGAATGTCTTTGAACTCGTTCGCTAA